TCAAATTAAAATCAGCTGAAAATGTTCAGCCTAATGATCAGTGGCTTTCTATCTGTGATCTGCAGACTCCTGGTGGTCCACAGGCTGTTTGGCTGTTTAACATATGCAAAGGGGGCCACACCTTCATTTGAAGTTCTTTTAGGGGTCCCCAAATGGAAAAAAATATGAAAATCACTGATGAACATTATCTTTAAAATTTCTCACTATTTGTCTTTATTACATTTTGATGGATGAGTTTAAGATCGAGATGAAATTTAGTGCTAAAATCTTATCTTTTCTGTCATTTCTGAATCTCCCTCAAAAGTATCATATAATGGAAAGTCCCATATTTAATCTCAAGTGATTTTTTTTGTTATCATGTTTAAAATCTTAAAAAATCCCCTGGCTGCTATTGAGCATATTAAATTTGGAAGAAAAAGACAGTTCTATCTAGATAGCTACATATAAAAATAGTGATTTTGAAAGTACCCTGAAATCTCAAAACTAACTGGCTACGTCTACACTGGCCCCTTTTCCGGAAGGGGCATGTAAATTTCACTAGTCGTCGTAGGGAAATCCGCGGGGGATTTAAATATCCCCCGCGGCATTTAAATAAAAATGTCCGCCGCTTTTTTCCGGCTTTTAAAAAAGCCGGAAAAGAGCGTCTAGACTGGCCCCGATCCTCCGGAAAAAGCGCCCTTTTCCAGAGGCTCTTATTCCTACTTCAAAGTACTACTTCCTACTCTTATTCCTACATTCGTTCATTCTTTGAAGTAGGAATAAGAGCCTCCGGAAAAGGGCGCTTTTTCCGGAGGATCGGGGCCAGTCTAGACGCTCTTTTCCGGCTTTTTTAAAAGCCGGAAAAAAGCGGCGGACATTTTTATTTAAATGCCGCGGGGGATATTTAAATCCCCCGCGGATTTCCTACGACGACTAGTGAAATTTACATGCCCCTTCCGGAAAAGGGGCCAGTGTAGACGTAGCCACTTTGTTTTACACTTCAGGCTTGGCACATGCCTAGACCTAGATGAAATAAAAAATGCAATAGCTTAGTCTGAAGACATTTGATGCTTAAATAAAAAGGAAGCACAGGAAGTGTGAAGACAGCATACATGTGCAGTACGTTACTTACCTATTCTCCAACATAATTTGTGCTTTCCTTATTTATAAGTAGGAGTAAATTACGTTTTTGTAATTTACTCCTACTTAGAGTTCTCTTGAAGATTGCTCTATTACCTGCAACAGATGCAAGAGCTTCCTAATTAAATGATGACTGAACTTGAAGTTCTTGTGACATGTCAGTACTATTATTTTTGTCACAAAAATGTAAAACTTATAAAATGAAAATTAAAAAGTAAAATAAATGTTGAAAGAAAAAAGTCTTTAATTTTTTTTTACATATTCCAAATTAGTGGAGTTTTTGGCATTTCTGTTTGGGTATGTCTACGCTATAATGTTTTTAAAAAAATGTATTATCTATCATCTACACACAAAATGCACTTCAAAATAGCATTTTGCTATTTCAAAATAGCGCGTCCACTGAGTGGACACTGAATTGCATTTAAGGCCGGCTGGAACCAGGTCCAGCAGGGCATTAGGCCAGGAGTTTGTGTGGCTGCTGCCTGAGGCTATCTGAGACCTGTGCTTAAAGGGACCCCCCACCCTGGGCAGCTGGTTCTCAGCTTTCCCTGCTTGCTTGCCTACCTCGATGAGGGACAGCAAAGCATTTGTGTCTCTGTGTGCTTTGGTTGCCTCAGTCAGGACACCACAGCTCTCTGCAACATGGAGCCTAGACCTAGATGAAATAAAAAATGCAATAGCTTAGTCTGAAGACATTTGATGCTTAAATAAAAAGGAGGCACTCTGGTGTTTCTCGTGAACGCATTGATGTGAGTCTGGCTGCATTTTCTGCAGGCTGCCATCCAGGAGGTCCATCGGGAGACTGTCAGTATCCAGGAGGCCCTGTGGGAGAGCTTCCACCCTAACAAGCACTAAGAGCCTCCCTGGTCTGCCTCACTGGGGGCTTGTGCTTCACTCCTCCCCCACATCATTCCACTTACCCTCCCAGCCCCCCTTCCTGATGTCAAATAAAATACACGTATTTTCATGAACACAAACTCTCTTTATTTAACAAAACTGGGGGAGGGTTAAACTGGTGAGACTGGAGAAAGGAGGTGGGAGAGGGAAGGAAAGAGGGTGAGAAAGGGGAGGGGGAAACCTTGGAGGAGGAAGCTGAAAGGGAGAAGCAAGGGAAAGAAAGGGGAGGGAAAGCTCAGGGCTCAGGGTGGGGGGTCTTGCTGGACCAACCTGATTTTCATGCAAACCTGCTCCTGGGTTTGCATGTGGCCTTTGGTGGCCAAGCTGGCAGCTATCCTGCCAT